AAATGACTCAGTGCAAGCGACGTTGAACCCGAGTCGATTAACAGTAACGTTATGGCAATGAGGCTCATGATCGGGGTGAGTTAAGAGCGTCAGCTGTTAAGTGGAGATAACGCAAGGCGCGGAAATATCGTCGGTTGCACGTACTTGTGTTTTATATATCAAGTTTACACATTTCTTAACCTAAGCGTCGACGGATTGAAGCTATGGCTTTTAATTTTTAATGGATTTTGGTCGTGCTATCCGACTGCTGTTACTTATAAATGTTATAATCGAACCCGCAACTCAAAACTGCTAAGCATCGTCGCAGCTTTTAAACTGACGTCTCATAATGTTCCATCCATTTTTAAATGACTGTTATAAGCATGTGCATTACTAATGTATACTTGGGCCACATAATAACTACATGTTGCTGTGTCCTCGTATTAATTTAGAGGATGATTCACCCCGAAACCAGGAAACTCCAGTTCGACGCCCTCTTTTCTTTATAAATAAGTTCTAAATACACTTTTGTTTACATAATATAAAGGAACAATTAAGGTCTAAATTAAAAGACCCTTATTTTAATGAACTGTAAAAAGAGGTTCAATATCGGATAATTTTTTTTGATATTATTTTTTTAACAAAAAATTAAGCGATAATATTTTACCATATCGTCCGATTTCAATGACAATTTTAATACGTCTTTAATATTATTTTGATCTTTAAATATGTGTCTATTAAAGTAGGTAACGGAATATTTCAACGTAATTTTCATGGATAATACAATTATTTCATATACTAGTTTTCAAATCCTGACCAGGGACCTGAAGATAATTGGCCGGTTCTTTCGTTCTACAAAGAACACATCTCGAGGTTAATCAAAAATGTGTTTAGTCACTATTGAACGATGCATTTCCTAAGATTTATTCACTTTAAGTTTAAGTAGCATTTGTTGTGGTGTTTATATGATTACTATTATCTGCTCTATTACTTTTAATATTTAACTTGTGTACAAGTTATGGGTGTTCAAACAGTCTTCTATTAAGATAAATGAGAAATCCAAGTTGTCCCTTGTCCCTAGCCAAGTCAGCTTGGTTTCTCTCCATTCTTTCCATAGCAGGTCTCACTCATGCAAGTCTACTTTCACTGTGTACTTATAAAAGATCGCTCGTGTTTCAATAGGAGCAGTTGGGGTCCTCTGCTTCTAAACCAGTCACTTTCGATACTATTGCAAGGCTGACAAAGGAAAGCCTTCGATACTACTACGACAATATTCTATCTACTGATAGAAAAGAGGATACCTACGGAGTTTCTTCCGCCTGTTTTTTCTCGGTTAGAGGAACCTAATTACGAAACGGTAGTAAATTTTAAAAAAATGACTATCGATAGAAATGTATATTTCTTACTTCGATGAGTTGCCTTCATCGGTTAATATCGAATGGTTATCCATTTCGGAAAGTATTTATTAATATAGACATGGATCTACCTCAAAACGACATTGTGAGGTAGATAGATGTGTCGGAAAGTAAGTAAACTTATAAACAAATAATTCAAAAACACGACAAACAAACAATGTGTCATTATCATTTAACCCAATATAAACAACATAGAACAGAGAAACTCCTGTTAGTGTTTTTTTTTATTTTGTGCTAGTCTCTGTACTGATGACGAAGCTTTGGCGATAAAAATGTCGCCAATTTTCTCATCACAACCAGGATTCAAACCTGCGGTTTCTAGATACAAATGCAATAAAACTAGGATAAATAATAGGAAATATACAATGTGGTACATATTTTAAACTGTGGTAGGGCCACGCGACAGCTTCAACTGTTGCACGAATGGGCAGGCCCGTCCGGGTAACTACCACGACCTAACAGAAGACCAGCGTGAAGCGTGTCATTCTGCGTTTGGTGTAGTAAGTGAGGTAACCGGGGCCCACTTTATTATAAGGTGGCAACGCATCAGCGATCCTACGGGTGTTGAAAATGTCCATGGGCGGCGGTTATCACTTAATATTTGATGAACCGCCAGCTCGCTTGCTACCTTATAACATTAAAAAAAAACTTAATTACTAGTCGCTAGTGTTCTCTTGAGATTGGACGATAAGACACCCATTAGAAAACAACTCACGGCCAACACTAGGAAGTGGTTTTACGCATGACATAAAACAATTGCATTGTTGATTACTAGAAGACATAATCTGATATCGAGAGACGGTCTTTTTATTTATCATCCCATCGATTCGTTCGCAATTATAACATTTCTGATGCAGTTGTATGTACTTTAATGGGTCGGAAATAAGCAAAAGTTTAGTAAAATCGCGTAAGGTCTTTAAAAATATCGTGAACTTCGCCTACCTGAGACACGGATGTTTTGGTTTGAGTGACGTATTTTCAATTAAAATATGCTAATTACCTGGTCCTAACATACAATTAGGTGAGAGATCGCAATATATAATACTTTATGCATAAAAGTTGTCGTCATTCGGCGGCTACAGGTGATTATCAGAGTTAAGTATCTACACGTATGCTAGTAGTAGAAGCCCGAAAACCATATTTAGCAGAGATCGAGACTAGCAAGGCTTATTGATTTGCATTTGAAAACCTCCAATTGGTGGATGAAAAACCTGATGAAATTATTGAATAACCTTGAACGTTGACGTTATGATATGCAGGAAAAAGGATGCAATTGCGTATTTATTACTGTGTTATTTCGTAAGTAGTGGCGTCTTGTACTATCGGAGGCCCATATTAATAATACTCTGGGCACCAGAGTATTATCGTATACTGTTAGCATTATCGGCAAGTACATTTTTTATAACAAAAAACAAAACTGACTACAAATGTACCCCTCAATATACCTTTTCTATTTAATTTTGAGGAGTTCTGGATGTGCCTCCGGAGTAAAAGGTTAAATAGCAATGAAATAATATGGCAACACATGGAAGCTAAACCGAACAGTCAAGTTAGAACTATCAGTTAAAAATGTATAACAGCGGAAAAAGAAAATTAGCCCAAATTCAATTATTGTTTTAACGGAAGGATATATTTCACATATTACATTACAGTCAAAACTATGGAAATTATTAAAAAAAAATTAACAATAGTATACTATAATAGCTATACAATTGCATAAAACGTATATAATTTTCCAGATAATGTTTCGAGGCACGTCGTTCATGTCGGGAACTCGGGAATTACGTGGCGCCGGTAGAAAAACGCAAGTGAAAACCGGACATCTTGCAAATCGACCACAACGGTCGTTTTGCATAAAGCCCGATGCGGGAACTGTTCAAAAGTCGTTCGCGACGTTGCAACATCGCATTAATATAGAACAGCTTGAGCCCACAACACTAATTTGTATGGTGATTGTATTAAGACAACATTCTTGAGCAATAAGACGTAAGTAATGTACTTTATTTTCGGAGCTGTGAATGTTTCAATTCAATTTAACGTGAATGAGTTCTGTAAGTGGTAAGAGAAATTGAAAAAACACTATAAATGTCCATATACCATGTTAATATTAATGTCTGCAGCCTTTATATTAAATAAATGTTATGAATTCTGAATGCAGGTTGTTAATACAATTGGCATATGTAACAATAATTACCAGGAAGAAAAAAAAGCAATTCCAAATATGTTTTTGATAACATAATGGCATCTCAATCATTGACCCAGCTAAATCCAATGCAACACATATTATCTTCAAATGCAAGATACATACTTATATTACAAAACTAATAAAACTATTGGAAAACTCACTCTACTTATTTAATTGTAAATGTTAATGCTGCCAGCACAATCAGTTATAACAATGGAAAACAACATTATATCGGTAATGCTTTAAAATAGCTATGATTTTGATTTTCATACTGATTTCTTTTTCGCAACAGAATAAATTTTGAAATAATTAATGAGCAAAAATCATTGAAGGCATTTAAATTTTCAAAGAAACCTTGTATTTAGGAACATTTTATGTAAATAATGTAAATAAGTATTATTCAAATATTTTTATACATATTGATATATAAAAAACGCTAATTACATAATAATATAAAACCAAAATAGGAAAGTTAAAAAATTAAATATCTAATTCAATACAATGACAATATCCAACATATCAGGAACCAGAATCAATAAGTAGCAAAGTACCACCACATATGTGCCAAATATGAAAGATATATAACACTATTCTTTTTAGAAATCTTTACTTATAGTTTAAACTGATTACATCTTCTTAATAAATAAAAATGAATGTTGGTAAGCGCATAACTCAAGATTGGAATGACCAATTGGGCTGATTAATTTTTTTGTATGTTCATTAAGGATAAGGTTTTAATACTACATACATAAAAAAGAGAATGAAGTCTGTGTATTGACGTATGAATTAGGTATGCTGCTAATCAAGTTTAAGTTTAACAATATGTTTTACAACAAGTTAAAGAATAATATTATTGAACAGAACAGTGGTTTAAATAATTATATTAAATATGGTTTTAATTTTTATATTAAAAGTATTAATTTTTCAAGAATTGCCATATGTTACAGTAGAATTTCCTGATTGACCATACAGAAGAGATAAATGAAAAATTCTTACAAGAAGCTTTCAAATACCTCCAACAATAAATCGGTAAAAACTTCTTGAGGTTTTTAATAATTAAATCAGACATTTACTACAAAACATAAAATTTCGCTTTTCTGCATTGTTTAATATAAATGGCATGTTACTGGAAACTATAAACAATCTTATCAGTTTATTATTCAGCATGTGAGTTATAAATGTTATCCTTGATAAACTAACATTTTACTTTTAAAGTGTAAAAATTTAACATGAATGACTGATGAATGTGATAATGATAATAAAATTCTATGTAAACATAACTTTAGGAGCCCGCATTTCGACTCGCGTGGCCTTCCGCCTTCATACGGTGATGCTAATTACGTATTTCATCAAATAAGGAAACTGCTCCAATGTTCAAGGCGAACCCTAGAAAATATTTTGAAGATATGTGTTCAACTTACCAATTGCCACTTAGACTTGCGCGTAGGATCTGCTATGGTTACCAGAAGTCTGTGTATCATCTGGACGGTTCCCTCGTAGTACACAAGTGCTGATTCGTAGTTTCCCATCAGAGCCATTTCCCGTGCCAGCTTTGTATTCTCGCAAATTTCGCCAACAGAAACTGCCATTATTGTCATTCCCGCTGCGTGCATATAACGATCCTAACGCAAAAATTTTACTTTTCCACACGGAGACTGGAATCGCGTGTGACATCCAACGAACGAAAAGCACTCATCTCATTTTTAAATTCCAACACAACCCGCCCTCATGATATTAGCTCTTATTTCATATTAGTCAATTTCTTTCTTTATTTTACATCTACAATTTCACTCATGGCTATAGAAAATTTATAAAAATAAGCCAAATCTTAAGACAAAACAAACTTCATCAATTTCGTTGAACAGTCCACAACACGACAAATAAGACAAGTAACAACTGCCAACATAGTACAGGATTGGTAACTAAAGTTGCCATTTTTTAACTGAGGCAATACCATTTATTTTTTTTGTAAATAATTAAAACTGATTTTCTTTAATTTGCGATTACAAAATAATTGGTGTTGAATGAGTGATTTATAAAAAATAATAACAAAGATATCAGTTGTAATAAACAAATAAAAGTGCATTTGTATTTTTACAAACAAAGATATAGAGAAAAAGGATAATATTAATAGTTCTTTTTAATCAAATTCTATTAATTATAAATTCTTCACTAGCAAATAAAATATGATACTCAAGATTTGAACATATAACATACATAACATATTTCATCCTATTGTACGTTTCTCCCTTTTTTTATAAAAACAATGTATTGATAATGTTTATTCTATTTATCTATAATCCTGTTACGGTTTAATTATGAATATCACTAGTTTGCTTTACGTTCTTATGATTAGTATTAAATTATTTTTTTAAGTATGTGCAAGTTTTCCTCTAATTAAGGTTTTACAATCTATACTGGTAACTTTATATTAACTATCATTTCAACCGACATAACGTTTACATCTATCAATAAATGTTGGTACGCCCTAATAATATAGAGGATATTAAGTTTATAGATAAAAAATAAATAATAACACAATTTTAAAGGGAAATACTTTTCTAATTCTTTTCATTTTGTACATGTATTCCTGATTTTCGTATTATAAGTTAGAAGAAACGTACAATACAAATTGCAAAGATAAACACTTTCCACTATTTTTTTTACTCAAAAAGTGCTATGGTTGAACTTTGATTCCCACATGTAAAGTATCGTAAGTAGTCATGTCGTAAATCTTATATATTATTACCTCAATCAATGTTGATAAACTTTAAGCTGACAAATTGTTTCGTATTATTGCTGCACACATCGTAAAAGTGGAGTTCCTCCTCTCTTTGAAACACGGGGAATTGCAACAACAAAAACAACAACGGTGTGCTGAACTTAGGTTCAAGTAACAAATATAAATTTGACAGATGATTGGGGAAGAAAGGAATTAAATAATGATATTCCTGAATAATAGAACACAGCCTGAGGTCAAATTTGGTCAGAATTACCATTAAGTATTTTTGTATATATCTTCACTGCATCCAGATTAACTAGAAGACATTTTACAATAACAGCCCAGATACGGCAGCAGTATTTCAAACACGATCGGACTTGCGTGATATATATATAAGGGTAGAACCTGTCCCACAATGAAATACCACATCACTTTTGCAAGCCTTCATTTTCCTCATGCTGCTTATATCGTGGACCGGAAAGAGCTGAAATTTGGGCAGATGTCAGTACCCAAAATTGCAAGCCGTTCGTAATATTCTTACGGAACATTTCGCAGAGTAAGTGAAGATGTTAATATGAACGGGCTCTGGGCAAGTGATGACAAGACTGGCATCTGGATTTCGGCGGTGTTGAATGCTACAATATTTACATCACCCCAATTAAAAACAATGTGAGACTGACATGCTATACCATAGCCCAAAAGGGCTCTTTTGGTCTATGTATTAGAGTACTATAGTTAATTATAGTTCTTTCGGGCAGAATTAGATCTCTACTGGCCTGAATAATCGGTTCGATACGAGCTGTCATCTAGTTTAATATAGACAGCAATAGAGTTGTGGAAAGAATAGTTTGTATGTATGTTTGTTATTTTTTCACGCAAATATTACTGAATGGATTTTAATGAAACTTTACAATAATATAGCTTATACGTCAGAATAAGACATAGGCTATAATTTATATACATATTGTATTTATATCAGTCTGAACATTACGCCTTCAACCTATTCTACGCAGACGAAGTCGCGTGCAGCGGCTAGTAAACCATAGATTGGAAGCTCGGTAGTGCCTTACCGAGCTTCCAATGCTAACTTTTGTTGAAAGCGTTGAAAATTGCAGGGTTAACCGCAAGTGCTTCTCCATTTTTATTGAGGTATACACTAGATGATCCCCAGTCAAACGATTTCGGTCGAAAATGTATGACTACTCATAAATTGTACATGTATGAGTAGTGGCAAAGATAATCGTTTTCCTCTAGCTACGTCATGGGACGAGTGTTAAATTTGTGAGGGATACTGAAAGTTTCAGGATTGTTCACTTAAAATAAAAAGAGCAATAACAGCATTCGAAAAAATAATTCCTGGGAACATGTTACTTTTAAATGTAAGTCGTGCTTAGCGAAGAATTAAGATAGGTAGGTACCATTCGAAATTTTATTACAATAAAGGAAAAAAGCGACACAAATTAGGGACCTAATGCAGTGTCAGTAAGTGTAACACAAAGTGGTTAAGGCGTTTTCAGCACAGAACACTCATACTCTCACAAGTTGGTTTCAGTGATATAATTTTGATGTTAAAGATGCAGTTCGCTCTGTTAAGTCACGTACAGCGAAAACTCGCTGCGATTAGCCACTCGCGGAGCGAATTCGCTATATGTGACAGGATACCAGAGTAACTCTAGTACAGCGAGTACAGGGTAACCATTCCGCTCATCGCGTTGCTCCAGACTACATGGTACAGGTCGAAATTCTCGAGAAGAACTCGCTCCGTGTGACAGGCAGGCGAGTTGTCGTTTGTATAACAGGTATCAAGTAGACTCGCAACGATTTTTCGATAAAGTCGATACCATTTCTGAAAAAGTGGAGCATGATCAGCATATTAGTAGTAACGAAGCAGCTGAAAAAGTGCAGATTGACCACATATTACTTTTGCCTCCATTTCAAGAAGCCGTGTACTTATAGCAGTTGTGGCAAAACCCAGATTAACACGCAATAAAATGAAACCGTGTGTATCATTATGAACTTTTACCGTTCGGCTATACCATCGATTTGTCTCCGTTAAATCGATCTCTACCGTTAAAAGGTGATGAGACTCAAGCAAGAAGAAGAAGATGAAAAAAAAGTCCCAGAATTGATCAACAGAAAGAACGTAATCTTTCATCATGGTACTTAGCAAAAATTTAGGGTTGGGAAGTGTTAATCCCTCCCATATTCCTGACCCTGCATTTTTAGATTGGATTCAAGAGAAGACTTTCAAAACTACTTTACGCAATGTTTTTGATCAGAATCCATTTTTTTTATTTTCTAGACATATTAAAAATTAGACATATCAAATATTGTTATATAAAAATGATAAATATTTAAAATCACTCTTAATTCATTAAATACATTCATTTGAACTTATCTCAAAAAGTACGTGATTTATGGGCAACTCATTTATTTTACGCGCGGTCATTCATAACGAACACGCACACAAGTTTGTTTCAAAAGTATACGACATATTTATGAATGACTACCGCATTGTCAACAAGTTCTGTTTTTTAGGGAAAATAATAGCAATGTTTTTGAAAAAACAAGTTAGCATTTATTTGCCTTTAGAAAAGCCACCCTGTAGATACAGCGTGTCGTTACAACCAAGACAATAAATAAACACGCATATAGAGGATAACTTTTTAAAATTGAATCAAATATTTACATTCTTTAAACACCAATTCACCAAGTAATTAAATTTTCCAAAACAATCAAATTTAGAACATCCTTACGTATAAAACTGTAACGTAAAGTTCATTTGTAAAGGTCACAATGCATATGATTGGGTAGAATGAATTTTAGATATAAAACATACTATTAGAATGAGAGACTTGTAATGCGACGTTGTGGCAACAAATGAAACAATCTCTGAATGTATGAATCAGTCAGTTGTAGGTGTATATGTTACAAATTACTCGTATTTATCAAAATAATAGGACGGAGGAAATTAAGAAGAGATAAAGTTAGATAAATACAAGTAAAATATTTATGTCAACTAGGAACTGTAATGTGACTGTACATTGGAAAAAAAACGAATCAGTAACAATAAACATTATATTTAATAATCTAGGTTTTATACATAGTATGAAATATAAATACAATCTCCAATTAAACAGATACATTGTATATTTACATGAATACAATCAACTAACACTCATCAAGTGCTGTCCCATTATCCAACTTATTCAATACAAATTCCTCAAATATGAAAAAAAGGATGGAAACCCATATTTAAAAAAAAACAGTTATGAATTAAAACAATTTTTACAATCTCTTATAACCAACTTGATGAAAGTACATAATTCATGAAGCGAATGAAACATAGCAACTTTAGCTTAAATTATGCAGATTTGAAGTACACATTTGAAGTTTATAATATTTGTAATATAAAGTTCCATATATTGCACTGGAACACTTTTGTTTTACTATGCTACTAACAATGGATTATTCTTTGGATAACAACAAAGAAGTATACGAAATTTATATTTAGAAATTGAATAGAAATACAAAAATTCAACTAAAAAGGGCGAAAAAAAAAATGAATCCAAGGACACACAAATTTATACACAAATCGGATTAAACATTACTTACGCTGCATTTATATCTTTTGGAGTAAATAAAGCACCAAATTTAAAGTAACGAAATTTACAACTTAATTCTTAAATAAATTAAAAACAAGACAAGAGAGGGACTAGGTAAATAGTGAAAATAAACAATATGGCGAGTTTTTAAAAGTGGAAATATGCAGCATTCTGTTATAGGAAAAACAAACTTGTCGTTGTTTGACTCTGTTACATGCAAAAAGTAAAAAAAAAGATTAGTTATACCATGTATGACAATTGGGGCTACAAGTTTAATACATTCTTTTTTCTTCTAATATTATAAGCGCTATACTAGATTGTTATATGTTACAATGTAAGATCATAATAAAGTTCAATTAAATAATAAAAAACAAATGTGTATGCACTAAATCATTTCATGTAGTGACCGGCAAACATCTTGAAAAATGCACAATTCTTGACAATAGTAATGTATTTGAACAAGTTATTTGTGTTTTGATTGAAGTTTTCATGTAAGCCAATATTTCTCATTCAAAACCATTGACCATATAACAATTTTCTTTAATATATTTTAAACTCCATTTTTTTTATCTTTAGCTTAGAAATATTGTAATTTGTTTTTTTTAATTTAAATTTTTAAGACAGCAAATCATTATTTTGTTCACACTTTTCTGTTTTTTTAATTTTATGCATGCTGTTTTTGCCGCTTAATTAGATCTATATTGCACAGTAACATTAATTCACATATCATTTAATATTGTTCTTAATGTAACAACTACTGGCAGATCTAATAAATAAATAGTCACAGTTTGTTCAAGATGTTTTCCGGTACTTATAAAGCAATTGCATTTTATATTACATTTCTTTTGTTTTATAAGGGCGAATAACCACGAAATTAAATATATAAGAATTTTATAAGCATATTTTACTTTTATATAGTAATTATAAGTAATGAATTATGGGTAATAAATTATATTTAAAGTGTCATGTTTCAAAATCATTGGGCTGTTAGTTTGAAAGCAAAATTTGTACTGTTTAGATAAATACAGGTGAGAAATTAAATTGAAAGGGGGTAGTTAATTAATTACTTATTATTTTAAAAATAATTTGCAAGCACGCAAGCAAAATAATTCGGAGTATTCTGAAACTACACTTTAAAATATTATTTTTGAAACAATAAATATGGCCAAAGCATGATGATTATAAAACATGCAATGGTGTTCATAGTATTGTACTTTGAAGATTATAAATAAAATTTAATTACAATAAAAGGTGCAATTTAACAATAATATTGGGAAGCGGTTTTGGTCACTCGATTAAATACGCGTAATTTAACCTTTATGGCATGGTAGAATTGGTGAAAATAAATGCATCTATTTCATGTTTCAAAACGTTTTTTTGTTTCTCCTCTTTATTCAATAGATGTCCAAAACACCTTGCTGTAAGAATATTATGGGTGCAATATAATTATTAATATTTATTAAAGAAATCTTATTTATATATGTATTTTAAACTTTAAAATATTTGAAATTATGAACAAATAATTTATATAATTTTACTACAATTACTGACTTACAAAATAATCGAAATAAAAATCCTGTTACTAATGAAAATAAATCTAAGCAGAAAATGAGTCTGCAATGAATAGTATAAAACAGGTTTCATTTTATCCGTAATACAACAATAATTTAAAATATGAAAAATTTGATTTTGGAGCCAGTATTCTATAATCTTTACTAATGACTTCTATTATCCGACTGATATACGACCGGATAACAATAGAACCGTCAACGCCGCCGTAACAAATAATCTTATTGATCAATAAACTTCGAACTGTTTAGTGCAAAAATCAGTAGTCCATATTTTTTTTTTCATGTTGGATTAAAAGGAAATTTAAAATTATATTAATAGACAAACTATTGAAGCAGGACCAAAGATTGCAGAATGAAAATATGATAATTATTAAACTTTCGTTGCAAACAGTACTTTGCTTGGTTTTTTAAGTTGTACATTAGCTATTGTTCTTTGAATCGCAGAGGTAAGTGGCGGTGAACAAATTTACAAAACGAACAAATACATATTATTCATTCATTCTCAAATAAAACCTAGAGCTTAACAATTTGAATATTTCTAATGCAAATTATATGATACAACAAAATAACTGAAAATGTTCTAAGTCTATTCAATCCATACAAAATATATTTATATTTTGATGTTTAACAAATATGTCACTTAATGTCTCATTTGATTATAATTACTTTTGAACCATAACAATAATATGTAATCACAATGTTAGATGGTCCATTATTTTAATTTTATTAGCTAAAATTACAAGTAAGCCAAATTGATTGAATAAAGTCTCATTAGTTGTGGAATTTCAATCATGTTAAAGGTAACAGTTCAGAAAATGGGGGTTTTAGCAATAAAAATATTTACAGTGTTTTATCATGAATCACATGATAATTGAAGTAAAAAAGTGTCACATTAGTGAGAATTGGATATTATCAAAAAGTTGCAAACCAAGTACCTAACAATATGAAATTAATATCATAAGTTGTGTTGCCACATTATTGGTGTTAATCGCATAAGAAAAGTAATTATAATAAATCTACATCTAAATCAAGTAGTATGCATTAGGCAAATTAAATGGTTTCTATATAAAAACATGTTTCAATAAATCATAACTGACTGTAATGCCAGTTTTACGAGTTTCCGTCTAACAGTTATAAGTTACATAGTATAACATATAATATAACAATATTAGCATAGATAGAGGGTTATACATTTGCAAAATTAATATTATGATGATAAGGTCTTAAAATGTTTTATTCTGTCTCTGTCTGTTTATATTATTAGATACCGAGGCAATATTTTAATTAATCTTGGACTTACTGAGTCTAAAATTGGGTCATAAATATGTTTCTGTTGATAATCCAGGCTAAAGGAGGTGCGGTTGACCCTATCATCAAATATCCAAAATAAAGCTCTTAAAAAGTGTTCATGACACATGTAACCAAAAGGTACTTATCCCACACAAACCTCTAAATCCATATAAACCTTTATACATCCCCTAAATTCCTTCATGTTATTCTGTAATTTATTCACAATAAGACTTCACACAGACCATACGTCTTTATGTTTGAATGTTTTTGAAAATGTTTGAAACCTGAGTTTAATGGAAAAACTCATTACTTGCACCTATACAGGGAGGCTTTTCTAAGTGTATCCATTTTTTTTTAAATTAAATTATAGACATAAATAATGTTATATAAAAATGATAAATATTTAAAGTCAATCGTAATTAATTAATTACATTCATTTTGACTTATCTTAGAAAGTGCGTGACTTATGGGCAACTAATCTATTTTACGCGCGATAATTCATAACTAATTCGCACACAAGTTCGTTTCAAAAGTATACGACGCATTTATGAATGACTACCGCATTCTCAACAAGTTCGATTTTTTAGGGATAGAATGTAAATTTTTTTGAAAAAAAAAAGTTTGTTTTTATTTCAATAAACGATTATACTACCGAGTCCGAACCTCCTGTGTGAATTTGGGCACCTTTATAAAAGCCACCCTGTATTATAAAAAAGACATTTCAAACACTCAGACCTCACAAAATGTCTTCATCTAACCACATTATATATATTTCAAGATATACTAAAGCTATTGGCGCTGCTCTTTTAAGCTCAGTTCTTTAATATGCTGCTTATTGTGAGTTGAAGTTCAAAACAGTTAATATCGCCACCTAAAGGCTTTTTGATTTTATCAATCTTACCCTTTTAAGCTAATATATTACAATGAATAAAAAAGTTATTTAAATGTAATCACAATAATTTTGAGTGTCGGTTTATAACAGACTTGATACACCAACTATATCTTTATTATTACATATACTGTGTATTATGTATGATAAATTATAAGACCTGACATGTATGTGGGTACACTATTTGTTGAAATTGAAATTGTTGGACAATCTCAAAGATGTATGTCTTGATTACTAACTAATAAGCTATTAATAATCCCATTTCTTGGATGTTCATGACAATGCTTCTGATTTCTTCCAAATTAGCTCAGTTCAACAGTGTCATTGTTAAAATATATTTCCCATATCTAATATGACTACATTCAGCGAGTATTTTTCTGGTGAGCAGTACAAATGATACCTTATAAAAAAAAATTCTACTCTGATCAGTTCAGGGGGCGTCCAGGTGGTCTTTTGGGGCGGGTGGTAGCACGTGCACTTGCATTGCCTTACCGGCGTGGTACACTTGGCCCGGGCTGAATGGCTCTAAACGCGGGTGGGCAGAGATGTCCTTCTTTGGGTCTGCAACAATGATGTTCTAATAATGACGCATGCCCATACTGCGATGCTTTTAAAAATCGTTCCGCTTTTCAACATTATATGACATATGTAAGTGAATGTGACACATAATATAGAACATATAATGAACATACAGAAAGAGATAGTAGACTAATCTAATAAAGCAATTCTCGTAATTTGTGTGCCTCAGTTTCGGTGCGATATCATATTTACTTCTCATTTGTATAATATAATATCATTGGTCTGCAATATAAAAATATTACTATCTGTTTTACTGAATTGGCAAAATTTCCTTCTCCAATCTAATTCTGGAAAGCAATTTTTAAAACAGTTTAAAATCGAACTACAACTTGATCACATAAATTGATACAATGTGCATAGAGGACATTGTGTATGATACAAGACAAAGACAAGGCAAGTATCATACTTTGAAAAGAAAAAAACCAGAAAGCTATGGAGTTATATTATCTTTTAAAAAAATTGTCCAGACTGTTGAGTCGCTCATAATATTAGTGCGACAATGATTCCGAATGTTTTAAAATAAGAATACAAAATCCTTTTTAAGTTGTTTTTCTGTGTAGTTATAAACTTGACTAATACCACCTACATGTGTTTTTTTACCTTTGGTGTTTGCTGCTATATATTTGGACAGTCTGACGGTGGGCAGTGGTAGATATCCGGCAACCAGAGGCATCACATCGAAGGTTACCAGCTGCGGTTCAGGGGATGTACCGTCCATCGTCACCACTCCTGGAAATTTTAATAATCAATCAATGGATCAATTTTTCACAAATTCCTCAAAAATTATTAAGGATTTTACCACTCAGAAAAAGATAATTTAAAAAGGTCATACTAAAATTACCACTATGTCATCCCAAATAAGACAATAGTCAGTGCTAAGGGCCATCAGTACCTTCCACAACAGGAACCTCTCAATGATTTAAGAGTGGATATTAGGTTAAGGTATTCTATATAAAATCTTCAGTAAAAGAAGTAATACCTGCAGTACGCCCAAGAACGGCCCACATAGTTTGATCAGCTAGTACTTCATACATGAGGGAGGTGTATTCGGTTTCGTTGACCTACGAAATAATTTCATAGTTTATCAATTTTACTAGTACAGATTAGAAAATAATGACTAAAGATTAAATATACACGATTTGCTAACATTACATTGAAAAACTGAGGGATAAAATCTAAGAAGAGAATGTGTACTTTTGCGGTAAGTATTTGAGTTTAAGTACGTAAGTCATTTGAGTTTAAGAGTATTTGCGATTGGCGTTTTTTTCTGTAAAATCGTGTTTTATTGTTTATTTTTGAAAAGTTAGCAAGCCAGCAGGCGGTTCCTTATGTTAAGTTATAACCAGTGCCCATGGACATTTGCAACACCCGTAAGGTGCGGATGCGTTGCAGTCTCTCAATAAAGTGGTCTCCGGCTACTTCTCTCAGCAGACGAAACGCAGAAGTAAGACACTTCCAGTTCAAACCGGTCTTCTGTGAGGTCGCGGTACTTATTCGGACGGTCCCGCCCATTCGTGTAACAGCGAACACTGTTTCGTGGCTCTACCAGTCTCTACCTGACTATTTATAATAAAATATTTATAAGGTTTATGACTCGATGGTGCCGTTGCTTATGGATTTGGAGCCGGGGGTCGTGGATTCAATACCCACACGAGACAGGTTCTTATGTTTATCACAGGTAATTAATTGTTCCAGATCAAGGTGCTTGTTTCCCAATAAGGGTAAGCGTCAGGCAGGCCGTAAAAAGCATACCTAGCCAAAACCGCTTACAACATGATTCACATGATGTGCCGACTCCACATAGGTGGGGTAAGGGCAGGAGGATGATGATGATAATGCATAAGGTCTCTGGCTCACCCGTTGCAGGCTCAGCTGCATGCAGTAGACCTGCGAGGCGCGGCAGAACTCGGACCCCTTGCCGGGCTCCAGCTTGGTGCGCAGCACGAACAGCGTGGTGCAGTCCTGGATGTCGAAGGGGCACACGAAGGCCCGCGGCGGGGCTGCGCCCTCGGCGCGGTACTGCACCGAGAAGGTGGCGCGCATCGGGCCGGCCTTCGCTAGCGGGTCCTTCAGCAGCTCCCACATGTAGGAGGCGGTGGTGCCGTCAGACGCTACAACCTGTAGATGTCAGATGCCCCCACCAATGAAATTGTCCGTCCTTTTCTTCGTCCTTTTCTTTATTCAGCCAACCGGTAGGTGTCTCACCATTTCGCTGAACTTCTTCGGGTTCAGGTCGGACAGCGTGTTCCCGTCGCAGTCCAGCTTGGGCTCGGACAACGTGAACGTGACCAGGTGGGCTACCGTCGACCTGACGGTCACGTGGAGGAACTTCCTCGTGTTGGAAGTGAGCAGCCGCCAAGACGCGATCATCGGCGGCGAGAAGTGCAGCGGTACTTCGGTGACGGTTTCCCACCACGGACAGTTCAACCAGACCTAAAAAGAAAAACATTTATTAACTTAATCTTTTTTGCCAACCTTAAATTAAATAGGTAACAAAGGGCGGACTTAATGTCCAAAGGTATTCTCTACCAGTCAACCCAGGGTGTGTTGAGAACCTATGGTAGGTGAAGCAAGAAGCCCCTACGACAGTGTTCCCACCTCGGAGTGGCAAAAGGGGCTTAGTAGCTGTGGCTTGGTCAGCCACGACGAAGCTAAGAAGAACCCATACTGGGCCAGTCTTACACCACATACTGGTCCAGTGGGCACTCCGAGTGGGCTTCTTAAGTTCAAAGACTCTGGATGCGTGCTTGGAAGGTGCAGGGGACAGATCGATGGTGGTAAAGGTGACCCTCTTCTGTCCAGACCCCTGTCTTCTGCTACCGAGGAGGAGTCGCGGGGGAAGAGGAGTGTCTGTATGGCGCTTGGCCGCTCTGCTTATCCAGACCAGACCATATCCGCCGCTGGGAGCTTTGCTGCTATCAGCACTTGCTCTACTGGCTATGATGGCCTCGGAGGAGTTCAAGTCAAAATATCTCTATGCAATATGGGCTTAACTTAAGCTCTCATCGAACTTGAAAAAAAAACTACCACCGGTTAACTAAACTAGACCTGAACATGGACGAACCGGCACGAAACTCTGTGGTCTTGTTTCTCTTTTATTTTTTTGTGATTGCTTCAGGTGTAGGCCAGCTCGCTTGCCACCTTCCACATAAAAATAAAAAATCAAAATCAAATGTCTTTATTCAACATAGGAGCATTACACTCGCTTATTGATAGTCAAAACACTACCACTTGTTCGGAAAAGAAAGCCACTGTACTGAGAAGAACCGGCGAAAAAATAAACTAAAAATAAACTCAGCGGGCTTTTTTTTAAAATAAGCAGTTTGACATGAATTCATGAGAGTAAATCGTACTAACATTATGCTCGACGGTTTTCTCTCGTCGCGGCTGCAAGCTGGCGAACAGCTTCAGCGGCACCCGAATGGTCTGGAACGCGTCGCAGGCCGGCACCGGCACGTCCAACTCCCTGGACATCGGGGAGAGATCCTTGGCAAACCGCATCAGCAGGCCGGTGGACGTTTTCAGGTGTATTGTCGCGTTCTGAAGGAGAAACACAATATTCAAAAGTAAATTATTGTTAACGAATACCGGCCAAGTTAGAGTCGAACTCGCGCACGAAGGGTTCCGTACCACTATTTATAAAAACGGCAAAATTCGTGTCTGTTCTATGGAAGCCCCACTAAAATATGTTTTTTATCACGTTTTTTAGAATTTGTTGTTATAGCGGTATCATAAATACATCATCTATGATAATTTCAACTGTCTAACTATCATGGTTCATGAGATACAGCCTGGTGACAGATATACAGATAGCGGAGTCCGAGTAATAGTGTTCCGTTATAGCCTTTTGGCACGGAACCCTAAAAAAACAGAACGAAAAAAAATTCAAATATCTCACAAAGAGTACTTTGATTTTGAGGAGTTTTCTGAAATTAATCTGGAATTCTACACCTATGAAATTAATGGCACCACATTAGAGGTAAACCCAATGAAATGAAAAAAATATTCAGAGCTACCTCCTGAATCCGCGAACTGCCACTGGTCACCACCAGCTCCATGTCGTGCTCCAGCCCGGCCACCAGGTCCTTCTTCGGCTCCACCTTGTTCAGGAGCACGCTGACGCCTTCCGTCACCACCTCGTAGCCCAGCTTGGTGCATAGTAGCGCGTTGGACAGGAACTCCAACTTTCCCTCGACCAGCAAAGAGACCTGTGAAAGGCTAAGAGTAATCTGATGGCTCTGAGGCGAAGTTCCTCGGCGCCGGTGGTCGTGGGTTCGATTCCCACACGGGACCACTATTTATGAGAGCCACAAATAATTGTTTCGGATCTGGGTGTTTGTCTATGTGAATGTAAATTTATGTATGTAAAACGTCCTTAAAACTCGGGAAAATGTAAGCATAGAGTGAGGCAATGTTAAAAAAAAGTAATAATCTATATATGCCCCACTCTTGGACAAACGTCTCCTCTGTATGTGAATCTTACATTAGTCCTCTGGTCAATATTACCAGAGGACTAACTTTAACTATACTGAAGTCGTGTAGGGTACATTAGGGTGGTAGGGCCACGCAGCAGCCTCGGCTGTCGCACGAATGGGCAGGCCCGTCCGGGTAAGTACCACGACCTCACAGAAGACCAGCGTAAAGTGGAAGTATGACAAATACTTTAGCGTTTCGTCCGGTGAGTGAGGTAGCCGGAGCCCAATTTTCAAAAGGTTGTCAACGCATCTGTAACCCTCGGGTGTAGCAGATGTCCATGGGCGGCGGTATTCACTTACCATCAGGTGAATCGTCTGCTCGTTTGGCAACTTTTGACATAAAAAAAAAAAAAAAAAAAAAAAATTAGGGGCGCCACATGGTGCTTTTAGTTAGTATATAAAATAATGTAAAGTAACAGCCTATACATGTCCCACTTCTGGCTAAAGGCCTCTTCTCTATAAAATATATTAGGGCATAGTCCGCCACGCGACTCCACTGCGTATTGGCGGACTTCACATACCTTCGAAACTTGTTATTTCGAAAAATTTGCAGGTTGGCCCATGTTATCCTTCACCTTGAAGTTAACAATTTCATTCGTACCGCCACCAGGGATCGAACTCAAGTTGCTCGAGCGTATTTAATTAAAAGCGAGCGCCCGGACGATGGGCACACACCTGGCCCAGCCTGAAGGTGCCGCACCGCTTCGCCACGCACTGCAGCAGTATCTCGTTCGGTCCCGGGCTCAGTTCCACTTCGCCGCTGCAGAGGGCGCCCTCGAAGCTGCTCCGGACGGTGGCGGAGGGCTTCCGGTACTTGGCGCTCTCGGAGCGTTTCAGCGTCGCCTTCGGGTTCTGGCACTCGACGGTGGTCTTCTGCAGGCTCCTGTCTTCTTTGTAGTGCAGCTTCGAGGTGATTTGCAGCGGCGTGAGCAGCGGGTTTTTGGTCTTCAAGTCGTCCAGTCTTACACTGAAAGGGGAGGAGAGGCGTGAATGGTATGTGAATGGTACATGTTTATTGTTATATTATATTGTTATGTATTAATTTTTATAGTGGTTACTATACATATACATTGACAACAAAATATGAAAAAAAGATAACCATTTATGCCCTTACCGCCAAAAGCTTAAAGTGCTTAATGCGTGTGCCAGTATCATGAAAAAATAGAAACGTAAAATGAACACACCTCGCTATTATGCTAGCGTCACCGTCATAGGGGCATTCCCCAGTCGGCTTCTTCGGCGAGCCGGCTTGAGTCACGCTGCCGTTGACGCTCAAATCAGTCTTGTGGCTTTTTGGCCGTCTCTCCACTGGCGGGTCCTTGAGGAGCTCAGTGCTGATAGCGGCCCGGGAGCACCTCACTAGCTTCGGCAGGTGGCTCTCGACGGTCAGGCGACATTGGACCTTATTGTCTGCGACGTAGATGCCGCGCTCGCTCGGCAGCAGCGTAGCGGACACCACCCGGAAGCAGTCGTTCAGCTCAGCGGCCACCGGCTCGCGTTTCTCGAGCTGCACGCGTATGCTGTTCCTCATCTCCTCGAAGTAGAAATTCCTGACTAGTATCTCCAGTTCGGCGGTGCTCGCTATCCTGGCTGAGAGCTTCGTGTATCTGCAACAGACGTGATAGTTGTCTATATACATGAAGCGGAGAGTTAAAACAGAAAAAATAAATTGCAAACTGTTAAGTTTAATCCGAAAGCAACTCGAAGTAATTCATCTAATTTGATTACTATTTGCAAAAATGGCTATATTACTGTTGCTATGTACTGTTGACGACCCGATTTCTGTAGTGGATAGTGAACATGCCTCTTGCGCCAGAGGGAGTAGGTTCCACACTGAAAAACATTGTGTGATGAACGTTCTGTTTTTCCAGTGTTTGGTATTGATTATGTATTTATATAATATGTATTTATTTACGAAAGGAAACCATGTTTATGGGTCGTTCTGCAATCTGCATGTTGATACAAAGCAGTTCGTACCTGTCGACGTCGTTCATCTTCTTGGCTGCTGCCACCAGCTCGAGGCGGGTCTGGGCTGCGAGGTCCCACCAGCCCTCGTCCTCGTAGGAGCGCAGGGCGTCCGTGAGGAACACCACCGCCTTCCCGGTCTCGCCCAGCTCCGAGTAGAACGAGGCGAGGTCGCGGCCGATCTGGCGCGCGAACCTTCGAAGATAACTTTGATATAGCCGTACATCGACGCATCAAACACTATTAGTTGTTACCCGCAAAAAAAAAAAAGAGGCCAGTAGAAAAGAGGAATAATAATCATAAGAAAAAAAAGATGTCTTACAAGTTACGTTGAAGGAAAGGAGAAAAAATGTTTTAAAATACATCTACCTACCATCTAAAATGCAGGTTTTTCAGGTCATTACAAAAATTTTTCATTTAAAATAACAATTTTTGGTTTCAAAATAACAATTGAAAATAAAAAAAAAACCCGAAAAGATATTGTATGATAGACCCGATAGTTAGTTTTGTTGTTGTAGCAACAGATTAACAATGAAGTTAGAAAAACATGGCACAACATTCAATCCGGTGTGTACGTTTTAATGTCTCTGTCCCTTCTTCTTCTTTGACCTGGGATTAATTCCTGCTATCGCGAGGGTAAGCCGAATACGTGAGAATTTAAAATTCCAACAGAACATTTCATTGGCGATATTCGAACTGAGGCAGCTCGAGTGTTCACCGGACACACAACTTCCAACATCAGCTACCTCAGATCGGTACCATTTCACAGCTCACCTCAGTCTGCCGATGTGCTTGTACGTGCCCATCGCCAGCTCGGCGAGCTCCAGGTAGTACTGCTGGAAGCTGGTCTTGCTGCAGAGCGCCCCCTTCAGCCGGTCGGTGGGCGTCGGCTGGCCGTTGTTCGGCTCGCCGTCGCCCATTCCCGCGGAGAGCATCACCACCAGGTGCAGCTGCTCGGACGTGGGCTCCGGCGAGCCGGGCAGCAGGCCGCACAGCTTGCCCAGCTCGTGGAGCTGGAATTGCCAGTGGACTTCCAAAACTGTGGCAACGCATCTACTAACCGTCAGGTTGTAGATCCATGGGGACCGTCAGGTTGTAGACTAAACGTCAGGTAGACCGAATGCTCGCTTGACGACTTTTCACATCAGTACATAGTATGAAACAAAGTCTGTCTGTCTGAAAACTACGCGGATCTTGATGCGGTAACATTTAATAGATAGAGCGATTCAAGAGGAAGGTTTATATGTATAATTCATGCATATATTATGCAGTAAGTAGAGAAACATTGATAATTTAATTATAAGTTTCTAATGCCATGTCGAAAACAAACATTCAGTATTGCACTCACGCGCAACTGTGGCGGGTCGTTAGTAAAAAAATAAATAAAAATATTTCTATTATAGTGACTGGTAAACGTCTCGAAAAGTGAGTTCGGTATAGTGAGGCTGTGAGGGAATAAGCGCTTTGGGTAGTAAGTCCCAACGAACACATAAAAGTTTGTAGTGTTCTAATCGAGAACATTGCAACAACCTTTATTGTAGGATAACATTATACTGTTTTGTAAGGACGTTTTAAATGCGCAGAAAAACACCCAGACAATTATCCCGATACAGTTATACAAGAGATACTATTATCCCTGGTTCAAACAAATAGCTCATATGTGGGAATCGAACCCAAAACCCCCGGCGGCGAATCCAATACCTTGGCAATTGCGACAAGGGGTCATCAACAACAAACATAAGCCCACCTTATCTTTGGCGTTGTGCAGCAGCGGGGCCTGCGTGGCGGTGCACAGCTCGACCGCGTTGCTGCCGGGGGCGGAGGCCGAGGCGGAGGCGGCGAGCCTCTCGCAGGCCCTCAGCGCCTCCGCACATGCCAATTGGGCCCAGCAGGCCGCCGCCCCCTCTACAGCGGTGGCGCCCAGCAGCGACAACTCCACTAGGGTGTTGTGCACAGTACTCAGGCAACGGGACGCGATCTGCCACAAAATCGTTCAATCATCATACATTGTGTAGTATAAAAAAATTGCCCTTACTTTAGGATAACACTATTCTGTGTTGCAAGGATGTTTTACATAAATAAATTGTATACACATGGACAAACACCCAGAACAACTAACAACAACTCTGTGGGTCGCACAAAAAGTTGTCCCATGAGGAAATCGAACCCACGACGCCCGACGCCGAAACCAATACCTTGGCGACTGTGCCACATATGTATACATGTATATGAATGGTGTCTGTTTGACCTGTTTGCGAATGTACCTAATAATAAACATTAAGTGAATAAATTTAATATCTACTAAAAATATATGAATACATAAAAAGTAATGACAACCAAAAAAAAACCTAATAAGATAACTCTTAAGAAAATCATACATAGAAGATTTGGAAATTAAATATAGGCAAAAAGTAATAGTCAGGTTTCCACAAGAAAATTTCTCATTGATGTTTTTCAGCTTATTCATTAATATTACTGTATAATTACATATTATGTATATTCCAATAGTAACTACAGTTGATTACATATTTCAATTATGCATCTTACTTTCTCAATATTGCTGTTACATGTTGGGCTAATGAAAAATAAAATTATTTCATTAACTTCTAATGTAGTGGCCATTAGATGTGTTGTATGGCAGTGTATGAACGCCATATTTAAAACAGACAACAAAAACTGTGAGGCAAAATTTTCTGTATAGTCCCCTAAATATTAATAAAAAAAATTATTTACGACAGTGATTTATAAGGAGTAATTAAATGTATAAGCGGTAAGATGTAATTTGAATTTGCTAATTCATGTTATTATTTCAATAGTAGAATGTAACAGTTGGCTGACCATGGGTACAATCACTTCTACACAAGAAGTAATCCGTAGATTATTCCATATCATTTCCCACTTTAGCACAAATATTGAAGTTTCCATTCCAAGCAATCATTAATTATGTCTAATTGCAGTTAATATTTGCTGTTATAATTGCTCCATGAGTGTGGTAAGTGGAACACTAGAAATGCACTGTAATCATTTGTTCTGAAACTAATACTCACTTTTTCATTGTGATATTTATTTGTAAATCATCAAATAAATAAGACTTACAAAGATAAACCAAAATCCCAGCATAATTGACACAATATTTTGAATGGTCATTTTGTAAATAATTATGCTCTTTTTTCTTTTTTTTAAACATGCCTGGCAGATGAGAAAGATTTATGTGTGGGTCACACAAATAATTGTATGCGGGAATCGAACCCACAACCCTCAACATAAAAGCAACCTTGGCAACTGTGCCATGAAGTCATCAATAATCTTTTTAGGAATCTTAGGAAAATGCCAATAAAAAAGTATGTGTTCCTAAAAACAAGCTTTTTCGCTGTATAAGTCGGTATAAACATGCCTTGCATATAATTCCCTTGCATATATTTATTGATATCAAGATACTTCAACATAGTTATACATGCTGGTCCTACTTAAGGAATTATAATTTTTTCCCCACTTAGGAAAATAAATATATATATAAATAATAAAATATATACAGCGTGTCGTTACCATCGTGACAATAAATGAACACACATATAGGGGATAACTTTTTAAAGTTGTATTAAACATTTAAATTCTTTAAACATCAATATTTACAGAGTTATTAAATTTTCCAAAATAAAGAATTTTAGAACACCCTTACCTATAAAAGCGTAACGTAAAGTTCATTTGTAAAGGTCACAAAGTATATGAATGGGTTGAATGAATTTAAAAGAGACAAAACATACTGTTAGAAGGAGAGGCTTGTAATACGACGGTGTGGCGCGAGTTGTATATGATGTCATAAATTTTGTTTCTTTTTTACTTAATTGGTTTGTTTGAAAAATATTTTTTTTTAATTATGTATTTTGTTTAACGTTAATATTTTTTTATTTAAACGTGTGTTCATTTATTGTCGCGATGGTAACGACACGCTGTATAAATTAAACCTTGTTATAATTTACAATTTTGCAAGTTGACTAAATTAATTCATGTGATGCTAGCTACTGATAACTAGTTAAACAAAAAAAAAATACATTTTAAATACTTACCTCCCATGGCTTGTACATTAATAATAACATGGCACTTTGACGTTGGTACAGGTAACTTCTGAAGTCCAATAAGGAAGCATTCTTCTTTATAATAAGCTCTCTTAAGTGTTGAGGTACGAGAGCTGTTAGTTTTACTGCTTGCCAAGAAGTTATTGGCTGTCTGAAGGTATCAAGCCACTTTGGACTCTCAGCAACATTTGAATTGAGTACAAATTGAGAAAATAATGCATCTAACTCATCATACTGGACTAGAGCTTCTTCATATAAACCAAGCATTTCAAGTACAAATGCCAATTGTTCCTAAAAAGAAAATAAAATGGTACTTTGTTTTGAACATAATTTACTTTTTTTTAATACAAAATTGCCTATTTACCTGTAAAATAAAATATGTACAAAAATCCCATTCTGGTTCATTTCTCTTTTCTCTTTGTTCTCGCATGTACTCCTCAAATTTAATCAAAGCTCTATTATATGCCACAAGCACAAAATGTCTTATTTTAGCAACCAATGAACGCCATGACTCAGCACTGCGTGCTTCGGACTTTATGGGATTGATAACAGAAAGGAATCTTTCTTCTGTTTGTTTCGCAGCAAAGTCCCCTTTTATCTTGTCTAAAACTGTTGTTCTAGGCAGAAGTTTGTTTGTTTTCCGTATGTCATAAGTTTCTACTAAAATTACCATCCAGTCTGTTATACCATTCTTCTCCATTTGTTTGAGCCATGCTTCTATTTCTTCTCTTAAAGTAGTCTTATAATATTCTATATCCTGCAACATTTCAAAATAAATGGATAAACTTTCTAGGCATTAATCACTATTATTCTTTTTTTCAAGCTACACTATTATTCTCCTTTTCATGCTATGCTATATATTAAATAACTGAAATCGATGTAGTTTTTTTGTAATAATTGTATTATCAATATTGACACTTCTTATCTTCTTATACATTATTGCTCTAATTATTTATAGATATTGAATGATTGAATGGTGGTAGGGCCACGCAGCAGCCTTGGCTGTTGCACGAATGGGCAGGTCCGTCCGGGTAGGAACCACGACCTCACAGAAGACCAGCGTAAAGTGGAAGTATGACAAATACTTTTGCGTGTTGTCTGGTGAGTGAGGTAGCTGGAGCCCAATTTTCAAAAGGTTGTCAACGCTTCTGTACTGTAACCCTCGGGTGCAGCAGATGTCCATGGGCAGCGGGATTCACTTAACATCAGGTGACCCTAAAAACGCATAAAAAAAAAATGATCGTGAACTTACCACACAATCAGTCCAGTAAATATGAAAAATTGGGCGCTTTAAGAGATTCAGTTCTGATTTCACTTTATCCCTATTATATCTAGTAAAGGATGCTTCCAAAAACACAGACTTAGTAATTCGTCCATAGGACCTTCTCCATTCACATGAATCTTGGGGTATAGCAGCTACCAAGGGCGCCTCTAATGTACAAAATAAGTTCCAATCTCCAGCACCTAGTTTGTGGTATCAAAAATTATTGTTTTCTCAATGGGGATATGTTAAATTAATTATTAAATTAATAAATTAATGTTTTTGTAATTTTGGGAATAAAAATTAAAACTTTAAAGATTTTTTTTATACACTTATGGTAATTCATACATTTCGTCAATTTCGATATCCTTTGCCAATGGTAAGTATGAAAGCTTTTAAACTTACATGTTATCATTGGTTTGTGTGTCATCCCTTCACGATCAGCTGAAAAGCTATCGACACCCTTCATTTTTCATCATCAACAAGCTTCGTCGACTTTGTGGGCATGACCAGAAAAGGCTGCTTAACTACCGATCAAAATCCACCCACTTTTTTAATTATCAATTAGCGATTGTACGCTATAATGCTGTTGCACGCATTAGTATTACAAATTAAACAAACTAAATAACAACTAATTATTTTGACCCGTTTACGATTGCCATCAGAGACATAAAAAACGAAAATTTGTCAAAATTTACTGTCAATGTCAGCCTCCACGAAATGAAAATTGAAAATGTAATACGTTCCTTTTTTAATGATTGCTAACTACCGAACCATTATGTTATTTATGAGTAATGAGTTGCGTAAAATATAGCTAGTTGTAATATTAAATTCGCTAAAGTTGATTTTATGATTTCTTATTGATTTTTAAAATTATTGAAATAAGTTTTGTTATTCACAGAATTTTGTAAAAAATAATGATTATAATTTCTACCTTCGTATATAGATATATACTTAGATGAACTTTATTTAGAATACCCCAATATGCGGACAAAATAATTGGTATTACAATAATAGTTTCATTACAATTGGACATACAGGATTTAATACATAAATCTGTTATTTAAACTTTAATATTCACGTATCATATAAATTATTAGATATCACATAGAGACATTATCTTAAAACCCAGCAAGTGGCAATGTTCTTTGAGTAAAAGTGTTCTTTCTGTCTTTGATTCTTCGAGTCTCTAGCTGTACTCTGTGCCTAAATCTAAAGTCTACATTGGCTATGAATTACTAAAATGTCGCATACTGTTTTTGTATCATCTCGCAATAAAGGAAATCAATTTTCATAATTATCGATGAATTTAGCATTATATTTTAAGTGCGCTGCTAATAGATTCTGGAGATATTCAGCTCTTAATCGTCAGGTAAAATATTTGTATTCATTTTGGAATCAGATCCTGTCTAATTATTTTATTTTCTAATGCTCTTTAGATTTATACACATTTTAATTAACAGTAAACCTTTAGATAATATCGTTAAACTAGACAAGATTTTGTGCTTTCATTGGTTTTAGGGCGATTATTTAGTATATTTATTATTAATAACAACATCGGCCGAACAGTTAATATATTTTCTTTTGTTGTTATAAATAGACGTCTGTTAAATTTTTTTTTTTGGTATTCCTCTGTATTACTAGTACAAATATAATTAAAGTTACTATAAAACTATATAATATCTCGTAAGTAATATAGAGTTGATATGAGTAAATAGTGTAAGGCCAGAAGCAATAAATAAATCATTGTGGGCATCTAAAATGTTGTGATTTGATTTATCAAAGTAATTATGCTAACTTACATTTGTAATTTAGTTTTTGGCCAAATAAGTCATTAAAAAAAAGTAAGTAGGAAAAAATTATACATTTTTCTTGTGCAATACAGTATTCATAATAATTTGACAGTTTAGATAGATAGGAATAGGTCAATGTAATGACATTCCAAGAACCTGAATAGAGTATGATAGACACATTTGCATATATTAATTAATGATCTCAAGACATCTTATTAAGCATGCCAATTATTATTATGTTCTTATAATTTTTTCTAACTGTAGCCATGAACACCACGGCGCCAACATCTGCTGATGCCTGCCTTAGTATAGTCCACTCTCTTATGTGCCATCGACAAGGTGGGGAGAGTGAGGGCTTCTCAAAACGTGCAATTGAATCACTGGTAAAGAAACTGAAGGAAAAAAGAGATGAATTGGATTCACTGATAACTGCAATAACTACCAATGGAGCACATCCAAGTAAATGTGTTACAATACAGAGGACACTAGATGGGCGTTTACAGGTTTGATTTTATCATAATATTACTACAAGAGTTTAAAATATCTTTTTCGTATATGTATATCCCACCTGGAGCTAACATAAAAGAAACATATTCTGTCCTCTTGAACACAGGCAAATTTTAACCGGACAGAAAGACGGATAACGCCAGATTAATAATACCCTCATGCTTTATGATATTTTTTTTAAATGCAATTAAATATAAGCATTTTTGTAATATATTGTCTTCACAATCAACAACACATTTTAAATATATCTTTAAGGGATTGTTCAAACAGCAATTCAAATTTTTTGGTTCAATATCTGAAAGTGTATGTGTAGAGTTTAACCAGAGGATTATAAGGAATAAAAAATTTTATTGAGTGTTAAATAGATTGTTATCACAAATATTAGATATTGTAATTGTAATGGAAAATTATCATACATAGGGTGCTATACTAATAATTATATAAGTTTTTATGAAGTTTTATCCAACAAACTTCACTATGGTAGGACCATGCAGCAGCTTTTGCTGTTGCATGAATGGGCAGGTTCATCCAGGAAATTAGCAAGCATGCGATAGTATGTACTTCTACCACTAATATACTTTATCATTTCATCAATATGCCAGGTAACCCGGGCCAAAATTTTAATGATTGGCAAAGTTTCTACAACCCATCTGGTGTTATAGGTGTCCATGGGCAGCGGTAATCACTTAACATCAGATGAACCATCTGCTCGCTTGCCAACTTGCTGCATAAAAAGTACAATCTTATAAATGTAGGGGGAGAGGTTTATGACCTTTCATTCATGTTACTGCTCAAACTGTTTTTTGTTGCACTCTCATCTCAAGAGAGCAATACACCCTTACGGTTATAGCACTATGTGATAGAAATAGAAGCAATACAGCAGTATTGCTCTCATTTATAATATGTATTGCGATCTTACTCTCAATGTGCCAGTCAGACATGTCGCGTATAAATGTGCACAAGACACATCATTCAAATCTTCCTGTTGAATCGCTCTTGTCGACAACAAGTTGAGAGCAATTTCTCTGCAAGCTTCTCTTTCTTGGAAGGCGTTCCTCATGGCTCCTGCCTATCTCCCTTACTCTTTATCTCTACACAAGCGACATCCCTAAAGACTCACAAGTCGACCTCGCGCTTTTCGCGGACGACACTGCTGGCTCCTATTCGGACAGGCACCTTGCCCTAAAGACTATGCTAAGCTTTCAAGTCCTTTGTTTACGTAAGCTCCATAAACCTGTATAAACTTCAGGTAGTTCAAACATGTTCATCCCCCTCGAAACCGGTGCTAGGTGGTATCAATGAAACTTTGACCTGCATAATGGTTACTGACTCCCGTAGCTACGCAAAAATTTTCATGAGTTCCTAACAATTCAACGAAAGATCCAAAAATCATTCCAATCCTCTGGTCGTAAACGCGGTGAACGCGTTTTGATAACCCGATATACTGTCGTACCTTAGAACCACCGGGGGTCCTAGACAACACTATTACCCATAGATAGCGGGTATGGTTATGTCTAGTGGGATTGGATAGTGCGATGAAACCAACACAACGCGTATACAAGATACACCCGCGTTTCAGGGCACCTCTCACCGCCCCCACTCATCGACTAATTCAGTCAACGGTCATCGGAGTCCGGTCCGTACCGAACCTCGATGGCCAGCAGGTGAAACATCTCCAGTTTAAGATCGCACGGCCCTACCCAGCGTTGAGGGTTTCCAACACAAACCGTTTCTAATATAGGTCCAGCTTCGGCTGTTGCACGAACGGGCAGGTTTGTCCGGAAAGTACCACGACCGTGTGTGTTTCGTCTAATGAGTGAGGAGCTGAGGCTTTATTAAAAGGTAGCAACGCTACTACACGGGTGTTGCAAATGTCCATGGGCGGCGGAATCACAGAACATCAGGTGAACCGTCAGCTCTCTTGCCACGTTCTCACACAAAAAAAGGGGTTTGCCTAGCCGACGAGTTCTGCGTTGCATGAAGCTTTAACAGTTAATAGTAATCCTATAATTAATGGTAGATACTGTATTGCAGGTTGCCGGCCGAAAAGGGTTTCCGCACGTGATATACGCGCGCATATGGCGCTGGCCCGACCTCCACAAGAACGAGCTGAAACACGTTAAGTTTTGCCAATTTGCTTTCGATCTCAAATGCGACTCGGTGTGCGTGAACCCTTACCACTATGAGAGGGTGGTGTCGCCCGGAATCGGTATGTATACCACCAGAATATCACATTTACGGTAAAGTCTGTTCTAAAGCAGCATCGATCGACATTTTCCGTTATGTTATTAGTAATGTAACTTAATTTGGCGATAACTACTGTCTGGAATCGGAAATGATTAATATTTCCGAATACTGAAAATTGGTTTAGGTAGTTAGTTTATTATAGTCCGTGCGTTGTAGCTGTTGGCGACAGTTATTATTCAAATCTCTTATCAAGTTTGCAATGTTTAAATTCCGTGATTTCCGTCTAACACAATAAATAAAATAAATCTGGTAAATTGTGTCTTTATAAATTCAAAATCTCGATTTGTATAATAAATAAGGAATAAATACTGGTTCAGGAAGAAATAAATAAATACTAGGTCCTGTTAATTGGTAACGAATCGAAACTTGCCAATTAGAGTAAAAGTTGTTCCATCTCAAGTCATGTCAAACTTTCACCGGGCACCCGGGCCAAGCTGAAACGTATACAGCGTGTCGTTACCATCGCGACAATAAATGAACACACGTCTAACGCTACTTGCCAATAATCATAAAAAAATATTAACGTTAAACTAAATCCATAATTTAAAAAAAAATTTTCTAACAAACTAATTAAGTAAAAAAGAAACAAAATTTGTAACATCCTATACAATTCGCGCCACAGCGTCGCATTACAAGCCTCTCCTTCTAACAGTATGTTTTGTCTCTTTTAAATTCATTCAACCCATTCATATGCTTTGTGACTTTGATATGTAAGGATGTTCTAAAATTGTTTGTTTTGGAAAATTTAATAACTCTGTAAATATTGATGTTTGAAGAATGTAAATGTTTAATACAATTTTAAAAAATTATCCTCTATATGCGTGTTCATTTATTGTCGCGATGGTAACGACACGCTGTATATAACTCATGGCATGATAACCGATCATAAATGTATTTATTTCAAAGGGATGACAACTGAGCGATTTTACCTGATGGTATGTGAGGACCGCTGCCCACGATTACTCCACTCACGGTCAAAACGGACACAACTCACCGGCGAAACAGAAAAATGTGCATGACTTGTAATACTTTAACTTCACATCGTTTTTCTGTGACCCCGCGGTTCTTCCTCGGTCGAGGTGGCCTATTCGTGCGAGAGGCGTATTCTGACCCGTTTTTACTCTACCACCGTGATGTCCCTTGGTGAATGACTGTTAAGATCAAAAATGTAGTTCCTCGTGTGCAAACACGCTTATACCATATTTATATCTAAATGCTAGTCGAAGAAAGTAAAAGGAAACACTGATCTTATAGAACCCTTCTCAATTAGTTTCTGTTCTAGTTTGTGCAAAATCATAGTATAACCTTTTAATTTGATTTCCTACAATCGTGTTATTTTGACTAGTCGTGTAGTTTCTATCTAAACACTACTTTAACAGTTATCCCCCAAATTCACACTGTGAACGTGATAAAAAAAACAATGACTGGCCTAGGTTGCTAGTTATAGGAGATAAATTGATCATTTCAGATCTCTCTGGCCTCACATTGCAATCAGGACCCAGTAGGTTAGTGAAAGATGAATACACGGCAGGTCTCAGCGGTAACGGCATGGATATGGACACGGGCGAGCTGGTCACCATCCAGCACCACGCGACGAGCCCTCGCCACCACCACTCGACCATACCGCACCACCACCAGCAATTCCAGACAACGAACATTATCATTAACCAGGGCCAAAGTAAGCCTCAGTTGTTTCCGTTCGCGGCAGCCCGATCGCGCTCGTTCACTTTGGCTTTTCGTCTGTATCCAAATGTTTTACGTTGCACTGCATGTTAACTTTTATTTTGCATTTCTCATGTCCCAATAGCGCCCGATGGCGTTGCGAACATGTTCTCGCCGCACGGTCCGCGCGGCCCGGCGCGGCCACAGCTCGCGCAGCAATTGGTCCACTCGCCGGGCGCCCAGCCAATGATGACGAACCACCAAGGTCAGATGCAGGGCGCGCCGCAGATGGGCCCCGGCACGCCCCAGATGGGCCCCGGCACGCCCCAGATGGGCCCCGGCACGCCCCAGATGGGCCCCGGCACGCCCCAGATGGGCCCCGGCACGCCGCAGATGGGCACGAACGTTCCGCAAATGGCCTCGCCCCGGATGGCGTCGGCCCCCACTCAGATGTCGCCCGGCACGCCTCAGATGCCGAGCATAAGCCAAGCGATGTCGATACCGAGCCCCCAGCAAATGGTCATGGGCCAACAGAGGGCCATCGCGCCCAAACTGGAGCCCCCCGACACGATGGACGCGCGCACGATGTGGCTGCCTAAGAGAATGAACCATTGTAAGCTTACCGTTTTATTTTGCACGATTCTTTGCGGCCTCGATCATTTTCATTTATTTTATTTATTTCTATCGATTTCTCGTACATTCCATGTTTTGTGTATTCAAAATTTTTCTGACTTTATTGTATATTATTATGTAATTGTCAGTTTTGTATATTTGTTTTACTTTGTATATTTGCCCGACATTTTATGTATTCGACATATTTTTATTACAAGACTTTTTCGTGTATACTTTGTATCGACTGTTTTGTATTCGACATTTTTGTATTTCCTCGAATTGTATCTTCGAAAAATTTTTATATACAAGACACCTGCACCATCATCCATTTTCCGGTCTAATCGACGTCACTTCTATAACGGACACTTACTTTCGACCATTCTTCGGTGCAGTCGACTATTATGCTGCTATCCGTGTTTCAGCTATGCCGGTCAGCATGTCCCCGGGTGGGACCACCCCGCTGATAGACGGCACCGGTGGCGCTTTCTTTGCGAACGAGCAGACCGTTGCCGACACGCAAATGACGCAAACGATGTCGGGTGGGTTGCGGAATTTCGAATCGCGTAGTAACATTAATTTTGTAGTACGCAGAGCAGTTGTAGCTAATTTTAATTCAATATACTCGAGCAACCAGAGTTCGAGCCTCGGTGCCGGCACCAATGAAATTGTTAATAATAGGCGCTGACTTATCATGCGCTCTGCGATGAAGGAAACATCGTGAGGAAACCTGTATGTTAATAAATAATAACAAATTTCGATGTGTGAAGTCGGTCAATCCGCAGTTGGGTCGCGTGGCCGCCTATAATACCCTCTGCACAGAGGAGGCCTCTCCCAGCAGTGGGACATATTTAGGCTGTTATTTTATTTTATATAGTATGCTTTGACATAGTGTCATAGCATCCAAGGCAGCACGGTGTATTTACGGCAAGGGCAATGCGATTAGTTGTACGAAGTGTACATTCGCGAACTCCCCCAATATATCGCTTTTTGTTCACGATGTTTGCCGTTCACTAATAAATAATAAATAAAGCTAGTTGAGCCGTGTGTAATTTTGTGATCAGATTTAATTTTTTTCATAATTATGTATGAATAAGTATCTATCAATGAAAGGTATCTTATGCTGAAGCATAAAGTTTTTAGTTTTTCATTAAAAAAATTGTCAGTAGATGGCATTATAATAAATTCTTTTTAAAAACCCAAACGAAAGTATCTTTTATGAAACATTATAATACTTTTATCGTTTTTTAGGTGTCCGAACTATTAAATATGATGAAGTATCATGACTAAATAACACATGGAGATGGGAGAATTGTTTGCGATATATGTAAATTGTTCTCTTAAGCTCCTGGACTCATGTATTTAATATGACACATATATATGTTGAAATGAAACAAATAAGCCTTGAACTTACAGCCGGTCTTTGGATCTATAACCTTTGACTCTACTGCGCATGCATATGCTAAGTCCTGTCGTATTCAGTGGGTGCCGATGTTTGGACTTCCTAGACCGTACGTGGTAGGGCCACGCAGCAGCCTCGGCTGTTGCACAAATGGGCAGGCTCGTCCGTTTAATTACCACGACCTCACAGAAAACCGGCTTGAAGTGGAAGTATAATACTATAGCGTTTCGTCTGGTCAGTGAGGTGGCCGGAGCCCGATTTTCAAAATGTGGTCAACGCAGCTGCAAACCCTCGAGTGTAGCAGATTTCCATGGGCGGCGATATCACTTAACATCAGGTGAACCGCCTGCGCGCTTGGCGACTTTTCACATAAAAAAAGACCCGCCTCCTAAAGGGGCGCCCGTCGTTGCAGGGGTCACCGCTGGCCCGGCGCCGGCGCCCCCCGGGGGCCCTTCGGCGCAGGGCGCAGCCCCGGAGCCCCAGCAGAACGGGTTCGCGGCCTCCGCCAGCCCGGGGCCGCAGCCGAGCCCGCTGCCCCACCGCACTCAGAACCAGCACCAGCAAGGTACCGATCACCCTGGTGGAATTTCCTACGAAGCGGGCTGGTTCCCCTTTTCCCTATTATTAAATTAACCCATAGGCTAAGCACACAGTAATCCCAGAAGTGAGGAAAGATAATGTGTCACTCACCGAATTCTGTTGCTTCTCGCTTGCCCCTGCTTGTCACGGGACAATCAATTCAATCGCTAATAATTATTTTATTTACGCGAAGAGGCGCGCGCGCATTCACGACAAAACATGAAGATGACAAGCACTTCCTATTATATTCTTCCCACCAATCACCGGTTGCCAATGTTACCAACTTTGCTCCAGTGTTGTCTAGTGACAATTTTTATTCGGCCTACCTGTAACACCGCACCACACAACTAGGATACGAATGCGCTCAATCACACCCAAAAAGCTCAATGCGATCATTGGCTTATATAACTCAATGTCATGTACTTATTATATTATTAAAAAATAATATATTATATGACATTGAGTTTTCTGTTTTTACATTTTGTGTATTGTCGGACACGAAGATTATTATTATTAATAATCTATATTTCAGACAATTATACCTTTATTCTATTCTACTCAGATCACCTCAGCAAGAGGAATAGGATAAGATTTGGTGACTCCGTTGCACAGTTGCCAAGGTATTTGCTTCGGCGTCGGGGGTCGTGGGTTCGATCACCACACGGGATAACTATTTGTGTTACCCACAGATAGTTGTTTCGCATCTGGACGTTTGCCCACGTGAAATTTATGTATGTAAAACGTCCTTACAACACAGGATATTGTCATTTTACAGTTGGGGCAATGTTTAAAAAGAAAAGAAAATGAAGATGCCTACGATGATAACTTGTGACGATGCTAACTTGAATCCGTTTCGGCGCAGGCACGTGGACGGGCAACAACACGCTGACGTACACGCAGAGCCTGGCGCCCCCGCCGGCCGCGCCGCCCGTGCCAGTCGACGCGCCGCCCCACCACCACCACTACTGTAACCACCCCGTTTTTTTGTTTTTGTTAACGTGGGGGTAACGCCTACGCTTACCCGCCCTTGTGGGGGCAAGAGCGGGTTATGTCGGACTCGCACCGACTAAAACCTCCACGATGCTCCACCTAGCGGCATGTCGGCAGGGACACTGGAACGCTTTCACACGCTTCCGCGACCCTGCCAGCGCTGGCCGCCTCAGCATCCCCCTCCTGGGGAGCCACTCCCCTCCTCCAGGTAAAGCACGCTGGAACATTCAGCGCCCCTTCCTATTCGGCCGCTTTTTCACGGCCAACGAACTCCCCCGAGTTCGCTAAACAGAGGAAATGGGAGCCAGGAGAGCCAGTGTCAATAAGCAGCTAGCCTCCCAGCCCACAGCGGCGGATCTGGACTGTGGCATCGCCGCTCAAAACGTTTCGGCAACGAAGGATAGGGAGAATGGCGCATCGTAATACCGACACTCCTCTCCCCCCGCGGCCCCACCACTACTCCATCAATTAGCCCTAATTATACAGGGAGGCTTTTCTTAGTGTGTCCATATTTTTTTTATTAAACTGTAGACATAAATAATGTTATATAAAAAATGATAAATATATTGAAAATCGCTCGTAATCAATTAATTACATTCATTTGAACTTATCTCAAAAAGTGCGTGATTTACGGGCAACTCATTTATTTTACGCGCGATCATAACTAACACGCACACAAGTTCGTTTCAAAAGTATACGACGCATTTATGAATGACTTCCGCATTGTCAACAAGTTCTGTTTTTGGGGAATAGAATGGCAATTAAAAAAAAAGTTTTATTTTTATTTTAATAAACGATTATACTACCGAGTCTGAACCTCCTGTGTGAATTTGGGCACCTTTAAAAAAGCCACCCTGTATTACCGTTGAGCCCTAACACTAGTCCCCGTATTCCAGACAACGGCAACCCGGGCGGGCTGCTGTCGAGCCAGCCGGCGCCCGAGTACTGGTGCTCGGTGGCCTACTTCGAGCTGGACACCCAGGTCGGGGAGACCTTCAAGGTGCCGTCCAGCCGGCCCAATGTCACTGTGAGTGTAATGTACAGCTCCCACTTTTATTTTTTAATAAAAACATTGTCCTCGCTTTAGGATAACATTGTCCTGTGTTGTAAGGACGTTTTACAAACATAAATTGCACGAGGACAAACACCCAGATGCGAAACAACTATCTGTGGGTCGCACAAATAGTTGTCCCGTGTGGGAATCGAACCCACGACCCCCGACGCCGAAGCCAATACCTTGGTAACTGCGCCATGGAGTCATCAAACCACTCTCTTTACTCTTAACAGCCTCTCCTATGTCCGGTTCCTATGTTCAACGAACGGCCGTTAGTTACGTAGCTTCGTAACTTTCATAACGACTTATAGATTATAGGAACTCTAGTAGCTCACTTTCCGTGGGTAATGCAACGGCTCGTAAGCCAAACGGCTCGTTTTGTTAATATAGGAACCGGGCGTACACGCCTTTTATCTACAAGTTATTATGAAAGTGACGAAGCTGTGTAACTAACGGCCGTTCAATATAGAAACCGGGCGTTAGAGACATCGATTAACACTTTGCCGTGATAGCTCAGTGTCCGGGCGCTCACCTTTAATTCAAGATACTCGAGCAACCTGAGTTCGATCCCCGGTGCCGGCACCAATGAAATTGTCAATTTCAAGTGCTGAATTATCACGTGCTCAGCGGTGAAGGAAAACATCGTGAGGAAACCTACATATTTTCGAAATAATAACAAAAAAATATATTTCGAAGATATGTGAAGTCCGCCAATCCGCAGTGGGGCCGCGTGGTGGACTATGCCCTGATACCCTCTGTACAGAGGAGACCTTTGTCCAGCAGTGGGACGTATATGGGCTGATACTTTACTTTACAGATATTAATTAATATAAATATTATGGAACAGTTTTAAACAACCTTACCTAGTCCGAAGAAAGCTAACACTATGGGCATATAATAAAATGTTTTTCTTAATAATATTTAGGAAATAAATACGTAAGACACACGGGACATGTTTGGTTTTCGATGTATCTCGAGATAGATAGGATGTTTTAGAGTCATTTTACCAAGTTCTAGGATTCAGAAATAATTGAAAGTTTAGAGCATTTTTAATTTAATTTTTCAATCTGAAATATTTTATTTATTTGCTTTTCGCTTAAAAGAAAACCTGCGGACATCATAAACAATATTCTTTGTTTATCGCTTCGTTATCGGTGGACTCATCTTGGGATGATGGTCGATTGAAGTGAGCGTGCCGCTTTTCCTTCGGAACCGGGTTGAAGGTGTTACCACAGAGTGTTTTATTTTCTATATGAGTAGCTGACAGGAGAGCAGACGGTTCACTTGATGTTAAGTGATCACCGCCGCCCGATAACACCTATACCACATTCGTAGAATTTCAAGCGTTAAGCTTTAAAATAGCGCGCCCCGGCTATGTCCCTCACTCATTCTTGCGATAGCAGAAATTGCAGTGTGGTCTTTATTTTTATTTCTACAGGCAGCTTAATCAGTTCCGTTGAACTCCGCCCTATTTGGTATTTTTTTTAATTCAAAATTGGCCAGTCAAGTGACTGCCATCCCACCTAACGTTAAGTGGTGATGCAGCTGTTGATGGTAAGCGCGCAAGCTCACTAAAACCTATTCACTCTTGCCTTGTAATAGTATGTTATATGCCATTTTTATTTATAGGTCGATGGGTATGTCGATCCGTCTGGCGGCAACAGATTCTGCTTGGGCGCCCTTAGCAACGTACATCGGACCGAGCAAAGCGAGCGGGCCAGGTAAGTTCATTAACACTTTATTACATACATTAAAACCAATATTTTTGCAGATAGTCGATTGTTTCTCCCAATTTGATGTTGTATCCGATATCAAATTCGAAGGTAATAAAAAAAAAATATTTTACGCGGGAAAATAGCAGGAGAAAAGCGATGCACCTGATGTGTCGTGATTAACTCTGCCGATGGGCTTTTAAAACAATGGTGGGGCTGCCAATCATTAATTATCTATGCATCTCCTCACTCGGTAATCTCACTTATCCCGAAACGTAAGAGTATAACACTTAAATATTTTTTTTTTTATATATGGAACTGACTAGCGCTTGACTGCCATCCCACCTGATATTACTCTAAAAGGCCGGTGATGCCTCATATAAGTTGAGGACTTTAAAAGTAAAGTTGAAGTCAAGAAATACCTATTATTTATACTAAAATATTAAAATTTTTTGGCTCCATTTTGCGTCAAAGTCTCTATTGTGTAGGCATAATGTGAAATAATATTAATAATAATAAAGAGCAGCGCGCAACGCTGTGCTGTGGTACGAATACGGTTACGCGAATGGCCAGGTCCGTCCTCACATAAGACCGGAGTGTGGAAGTGTAACCGGAGCCCACTTTACTAAAAGGTGGCAACCCTACGGATGCCACCTCGCCGTCTAACATACACACTCGTGCCGCAGGCTGCACATCGGCAAGGGCGTGCAGCTGGACCTGCGCGGCGAGGGCGACGTGTGGCTGCGCTGCCTCTCGGACCACTCGGTGTTCGTGCAGTCCTACTACCTGGACCGCGAGGCGGGCCGGGCGCCGGGCGACGCCGTGCACAAGATCTACCCCTCCGCCTGCATCAAGGTCAGGGCCGGATTGAGCACGTAGCCAGTGCACAAGATCTACCCCTCCGCCTGCATCAAGGTCAGGGCCGGATTGAGCACGTAGCGAGTGCACAAGATCTACCGCTCCACCTGCATCAAGGTCAGGGCCGGATTGAGCACGTAGCCAGTGCACAAGATCTACCCCTCCGCCTGCATCAAGGTCAAGGCCGGCTTGAGCACGTAGCCGCACAAGATCTACCCCTCCGCCTGCATCAAGGTCAGGGCCGGATTGAGCACGTAGCGAGTGCACAAGATCTACCCCTCCGCCTGCATCAAGGTCAGGGCCGGATTGAGCACGTAGCGAGTGCACAAGATCTACCCCTCCGCCTGCATCAAGGTCAGGGCCGGATTGAGCACGTAGCCAGTGCACAAGATCTACCCCTCCGCCTGCATCAAGGTCAGGGCCGGATTGAGCACGTAGCGAGTGCACAAGATCTACCCCTCCGCCTGCATCAAGGTCAGGGCCGGATTGAGCACGTAGCCAGTGCACAAGATCTACCCCTCCGCCTGCATCAAGGTCAGGGCCGGATTGAGCACGTAGCGAGTGCACAAGATCTACCCCTCCGCCTGCATCAAGGTCAGGGCCGGATTGAGCACGTAGAGTGCACAAGATCTAACGAGCCAATAGGATGGCAGGAGCCCAATTTTGAAAAGGTTGTCAACGCATCTGTCACCCTCGGGTGTAGCAGATGTCCATGGGCGGCGGTATTCACTTAACATCAGGTGAACCGCCGGCTCGATTGGCAACTTTTCACTTAATAAAGGTACTAGCTGATTCCCGCAACATAGTCTGCGTTGCTTATTATAACCGCTTGCCTCCCTGCCCGGACAGATTGCGTTCTTCCTTGAATCTTTCGTGGACCTTAAGGAACATACCGAAGAATAAATTCGCCGAATTGGTCCAGCCATTCTTGAGTTATGCGCTTACTAACATTCGTTTTAATTTTATTAAGATGTAAGGATATTGAAATGTTCTTTACCACTTCATACTTAAGAACCAATAGCAGATTAAGGGCTGTTTGAAATTGCTACGGGCCCCGCGCGTGCTTAATCCGGCACTGCATGCACCTCGCCTACATCCAGATTTATCATAACCTTAAGAGCGATACAAAATTTATTTCATTTTATTTTATAGAAAACATTTCCCTTACTGTAGGATAACATTATACTGTGTTGTAAGGGTGTTTTACAAACAATTTTCACGCGGACAAACACCCAGATTCGAAACAATTATCTTTGGGTCATACACACACATTTGTCACGTGTGGGAATCGAACTGATGACCCCTGGCGCCGAAGCCAATACCTTGACAACTGCGCCACATCAAAATTTAAATAATTGTAAATTTTATAAACATCGCGCGTTCTACCCTCTGGAACAAGGTCGACTTGCCACATCGATCCTCTTTATCCAGATGTATCTTTACAATAAGACCATAGTTTTCTTTTGTTCTGATGTAACACATACACCTATCTCCCTCGCCTGCATCAAGATTTATCTTAGATTAAGTATATAACCAATATAAAAGTATATCTCGAAGTAAACATACTTCTCGGTACATTTTAATTATATCACAAGATCTTACTCTCCGTCTAGAGCAGGGTATACATAGGACGGGTCAAATAACATCTATACGATTAAATCTCTATGCGTTACTATTATTATTGTTATTATTTATTATACTTGAATCGATAACATTACATTTTTTATTTAATAACAATATTATGTAATCAACCAGCTTCAATAAATATGCAATATCATTACATAAGATCTATCTTCTCACGATCTTTTAAATGAATGAACCCTATAAATAGATAGTATTAATGCCATAAAATTTGTTTATCCTCTTCCTAATAATGTTGAAGTTAACGATCGTTTACACCAAAAGATAAATGGCCAATGGTCACGAATATTTTAACCATAATAATTAATTCATGAGTAATATTGCAACAAATTGTTTGAAATTACTTAATCACTAATGTGTTCAATTTCGATGCGCATCTGAAATTCGTTCAAGTCATAAGAGGGTATTTTAACACCGTCTTCTGTCTTCTATGTCGGTGTACATTACCTAGAAAATTGTTATTCGAATTATTTCGTAGTTTGTTTTTTACTTGCGCTGCATACGCAGAGCTCCCACCAACTCCACTCGGGCGCATCAAAGACCTATAAGAAGAATAAGAACGTGACTTACCCTTGTGTTCTCGCGCAGGTTTTCGATCTGCGGCAGTGTCACCGGCAGATGCAAACGCAGGCTGCTACGGCGCAGGCCGCCGCGGCAGCCCAGGCTGCAGCCGTTGCCGGCCACATACAGCCAGCCCATCCCGGCATGAACAAGTGTACGCCACCTTCCTCTCCATGAGACACACTCTTCTTCAAGTCACGTCCCCTTAGGCCACGCCCCTCTCCCCACGCCCCCTCGCGCCCCACCCCTCGCGCCACGCCCCCTCGCGCCCACTCCCTCGCGCGACGTCCCCTCACGCCACGCACCCTCACGTCACGCCACGCACCCTCGCGCCCACTCCTCGCGCCACGCCCCCTCGCGCCCACTCCTAGCGCCACGCCCCCTCGCGCCCACTCCTCGCGCCACGCCCCCTCGCGCCCACTCCTCGCGCCCCGCCCCCTCGCGCCCCACCCCTCGCGCCACGCCCCCTCGCGCCCACTCCTCGCGCCACGCCCCCTCGCGCCCACTCCTCGCGCCACGCCCCCTCGCGCCCACTCCTCGCGCCACGCCCCCTCGCGCCCACTCCTAGCGCCACGCCCCCTCGCGCCCACTCCTCGCGCCACGCCCCCTCGCGCCCACTCCTCGCGCCACGCCCCCTCGCGCCCACTCCTCGCGCCACGCCCCCCCGCGCCCACTCCTCGCGCCACGCCCCCTCGCGCCCACTCCTAGCGCCACGCCCCCTCGCGCCCACCCCTCGCGCCACGCCCCCTCGCGCCCACTCCTCGCGGCACGCCCCCTCGCGCCCACTCCTCGCGCCACGCCCCCTCGCGCCCAGCTCTTTAAATTGAATTGAATGTATTGTATACATGTTTGTTATATTTGTCAAATTATGTTTAAAAAAAATTGTCCCTGTGAGTTTCTTTCGCCGGTTCTTCTCAGGTCGGTGGCTTTTTTCCGAACCGGTAGTAGTGTTTTTTGACAATCAATAAGTAAGTGTAATACTTCTACATATTAGAATTTGTAGTTTTTGAGAGTTGGCGAAGACTTACTATGGAATATTTTATTTGTGCGACACAATAAAGTGTTAGCTTAATGTAATTTTGGTCAAAACGTATTACGGAACATCTATGTTATATAAAGTGACACAGATAATATTAAGAGATGGATTCACCGATCTAATTCCAGCCAATTATGTATTGTATTTAATATGAGTTCATGCAATAACTCCGAACTGTAGCGCACCCACCACAGCCTTTGTTGAAAAAATGTTTCATTTTAATTAACAACGCTTTCTTAATGCCAGAGCACTCCAACTCCTCGACGAGGTGCTGCACACGATGCCCATCGACGGCCCTCGGACGTCCATCGAGTAGGAGTTGATCGGCTTCTTTTGAGGCCTTCGAGCGACAACGGGCGCGTCGCCGCGCCGCGTGACACGCGACACGCCCCGCGTCACGCGTCATCTCGCGTCACGTCACGCGTCATATCACGCGTCACGTCACGTCTCACTTCACGCGTCACTTCATCACGAGGCGAGACGCGTGTCACGCCGCACGTGCGCCGCTCCGTACGCTATCGCTCGCGCCACCACTCAAACGCACTGCACTTGCGCCCCTTTGTGACACTGTCCACATGTAAAGCAAATTAGTGCTTATGTGGTATGTAATATGGTACAAAACTGGAATTTAGCCTACTTGCATCTAACGTAAATACATTTACTGATGATTTTTTTTAAATTAATAATTCGAGTTCTTTTTTGACCACCTTATTTCAAGATGATATTGTAGTTTTCTACATATTTTTTTCTCAATTGCAAGTGTTTGAATATATAATAATCGACTTAGATTATAGAGAGAATGGTTGTTGATGTTAGGTACAAATACTTATAGGTACACTAAAGGTTAATATTGCAGATACATATTTTTAAAATGGCATTTCGAGTAAACTTTGTAACTAGGCGTTAGAGGTTTACATGTAGTGTTAATATTACGAAATATATGAAGATATTGTCCAAATAAAGAATAAATCCCACGACGTTTGAGTGGTGGTTTCTGGAGTGATGAAATGTGCAAGTTTGTTTCGCGACGGCTTACGTTGTGGACGGAACTGTCGAGTGTGTTACTGAAGAGAATTGTTAGTGATAGAGTTTTATTGGGTTGCCATATAGAGAGCATTTATCAAGAGAGAAGAGGAAATTGTTAATGTTTTATTTAAATGTTTTGTTTGTTAGTTTCGTTGCGGTGGTATTTTCGATATTTTCGGCTCGTCTTCCAAATTTTCTGTTTTTCTTTTGTATGATTAGTCTTCCTTTCTATATCGTTGACGGTTGGGTATTGTGTCCTGTGGACTGGTACGGTGTGAGATTATGAAACAAACGTTGCACATTGTTTGTAGCGATACGCTCGCGTTATTAACAAAAGGTGAACTACTAATTTATGTCTTGTATTTATTTATGGTAACGTCTTAGTGTGTACTGTCGTCCGCGCGTAAAGTCTGCGGAGCGTCGAGACTGGGTCTTAATGCGTAGTGTTAGGGCTCAGTTTCGTTCGTTTCGCGTCGGTTGCGTTCGCCGTGCGGTCGACTGTACGGTAAATTGTAAGTTTAATATAACAACATAGATATTTATACCAGTATTGAGATGAACAAACTAAAGAGCATATTGAAGCGATCTCAGTAAAATTATACTTCACAAATCCTAAATGAGTAACGATTAAACTTGTGTAAGATATTAGCTATGTATACGTACATATAGACGGTTCTTGCTCAACAGACTCTTAAGGGGGGTAGTTGTGTTGGATCGTGTGTTTATTTTTAAAGAGAATATTGATGAACGGATTTTAGTAGCGATACCAAAATAAGGCATTTTCTTTACGATAACTTATTGTAGATTAAATATGACAAGACATAATTATGGTTCAACTTGAAAGAAGCCAAATTGGAATTAGCTTTCGACTTAGCTGTAAGGTGAGATAACGTGTTATTTAGGTTATTTACAGTGATAAAGAGTATATGAATAGATGTAAATTATTTGTACGTATACTAAAGCGAGTGTGGTGCGAAGTTTTGTACATTAGCTTGACTCGAACGTGTTTCTTGTACGCGTCGATTACGCACGCTGCATCTATTTTATAATTACAGTTCAACTATAATTAAAGGTGTCATAATTACGAATTATCCCAGCCGGTTAGTGTTTCTACAGAATTTATTGCAAACGACCACAAAGTTTCGCGATCATGAAATAGCATATATTTTTATATGTATCAAAGTACAATGAACTTACAATACCTAACTTGTTTTTAATTCAGACATGAAAGTACAAACATTTAAAGGGTAAATAATACGTCAGTCAGATAAGTAGAGCATATTTCTATAATAGAATATTTATTCTAACTCCTTTCAATTATTCATCTGGTTGTGTTGTACAACATAAGAATCTTCAGATGACGTCATACCCAAATTGACAATAGTCTCTTACCGAGAACAATGAGTTATTGGACCATAAACTTACGCGTGCCATAGTTTAACGACTCGACTTATTTATCGATGACCAATGGAATGGTAGTTTCGATTGCGGATACCGTAATTCGACTCGCGTGAAATCTAACCAGCGTTAAATTTAAATTATATTCCAGTCTACTTTTGTTTGTAGAGATTACGATGGTGTCACGATAAAATGTTATTTACTGCATCGAATCGTCGAGAATCGTTTGCGAAATTCCCCCTTCAACACTGAGACCACTCGACGGACTAATTAGACGCTAATTAAACCCTAATTAAGTCTCTAAGTCCTTAGGAAGTCCTAGGAAATTAGCTCAGCTCAATTTATGAGACAAATTGTAATCAGGGTGCGGTCCAACTGAGTACCGTTTATCGTTAGTGCGAATGAATGCAGAGTGCGTAATCGATGCACGGCCTCGTGCGTCGAGATTGCGTGAATCACCGCCGATAGAAACACCTGAATTTTTCGCGTGACTCATTGAATAGTTAGTGATTTGAACCTCTAAATCGGTCGCATATATGTATACAGGGTGGCTTTTCTAAGTGTATCCAATTTTTTTTATTAAATTCTAGACATAAATAATGTTATATAAAAAATGATAAATATTTAAAATCTCTCGTATATAATTAGTTACATTGATTTGAATTTATCTCAAAATGCAACATATATACGCAACTTATTCATTTTACGCCCGATCATCATAACTAACACGCACACAAGTTCGTGCACAATAAAATTTAGGTATTTATGAATGACTACCGCATTGTCAACACGTTCTGTTTTTTAGGGAATAGAATGGAATTTTTTTTGGTAAAAAAACTTTGTTTTTTATTTCAATAAACAATTATACTACCGAGTCTGAACCTCCTGTGTAAATTTGGGCACTACTCAAAAAATCTACCTGTATATCAGATTGATTTGAGCCTTGCTAAGCAGTTAGTCATATCATATCGATGAGACTATGCTGGATATAAAGTGAGATTTGATGTCGCTTCATTGCATTATTGCTACAGAAATATCAGTTGTTGTTTACAACAACTGATATTTCTATTGATATTTATATTGTTAAGATCAGCGGGATTTATCCCGCTGATCTTATGTACTAGGTACTCTCTTTGGTACTAGACAATCGGCCAATGTACAGTATTAACGTTTGCGTTTAATAAAAGAACAATGAGGTAATATACATTTTGGGCGTTGGGTGTAACTTTATTCCAGTACTGAAGCGTCTCGATTGTTGCCAATAGATTTTGCGCGACCCGTGTAAGTAGCTATTTTGTTTTTATTGCTATTCCTTGGTTTAGGCCATAGTCATTGACGACTGTATTAACTCGATGCATTATTTAGCGACAAGGTTCTTCAGACAGCTGCACCAAATCATTGTACCTCGGGGCATTTCTTTTGCGTCGAATTTGTGTACGAAAATCGACTACAGCACGAGAAATGAAATATAACTAGTATTAACTAGAATATTTGTAATGAAGCTTTTTAATTAACTGAATAAATTAATTCGACGACACGGCTACGTCTCCGTGACAACTTCACATCAAATCTGTTATAGAGTTTTCCTAAATGAAATCCGTTGATATAATTTTGAATTGACACGAGTTTGGGTAAATGAAATGGTTCACGCAATCTCGCTGGATTGGTATTGATCTGTGATGTGCTAACAAGTGTTTATATGATAGAGATTTCGCGTGCTAAAAGTCGAACGCCGTCGGCTGGGCCGAACTGTGGGACTTTTGGAGTGATGGGCAGAGATTTGTGGTGGACGTTGTTTAGACTTAGTTTACGATAAGAGCAAATGACATATTTTGTGTACGAAACGATAAGATTAAGTATTAGAGTTCGATGTGTTGTTCGTAGCATTAAATATTTGAGATTTCCTTTTGAATTTTGTTTGCTTAAGATTTTGCTTTAACTATTATTATGATTTTTATTATAATTATTATTGAACGCTGTAGATTTATAACGTGCGTTAAACGGTTATGTGTTTCCCGAGTTTTTTTTTGTTTATTGATTCATTGTATTATTTTATTGCACGTAGGCAGATGTTGCCAGCGTTACGAGCTTGAAAAAATGACAAAATAGTTGTATGTTCAAAACAGTATAATATTATATGTTATCCCACATACCGTGTGTTTATCTTATGTGTAGTGATTGCAATACATAATGTATTACGATCTTGCACGATTCGCAGACATCACAATTCTATTCGTATACGTTGTTTTTGTATCGCACATTTTTAATTTGTTAATCTGTTACCAGTTTATTTTGTTTATGCTTCGGATCTTGCAAGTCTTTTGTGAATAGTACAATTTGTCGAAAATCAATTTCTTTTTTAAATTGAAGGCATGCATGTGTACTAGTTTGTCGAAGGTCGTATCGAAATCTCGAGGATGTAAGAATTGGTACTTAGACTTTAATATTCTTTAAAATTCTCTTTAGAAGGCTTTCGTGAATATTGAAAAACATGACAAAAAAAAAACAAGTAAATCGAAAATACCTCTTAATAGTGATCAAAAGGATTGAAAGGGTTTTAGATGATATTAATAAGTGGTAAGTTTTTTTAATGATGTTGAAGTTTTGAATGATAATATTTGTCAAATTCTACATGCCACAGTTATTATTGAGGTCTGACCGTACTGTTTGAATATTCTCGTATTATTACGTAGCGACACATTGACTTGCAGTCATTTAAGATGAACGTTGAACGTTGGATTGTAAAGTTTGTTAAAATTATTGCTAAAATAAAATACACGTAGCTTTTGTAAGTCTTAAGGATTTGATGTGAATCGTAAATTATATTTCATACATCAGGCGTCCGGTTCTGTGCAAATTGTAGTTGTAGACGTTTGGTTTTTACGCGTTCTACTGGCGAATGGCGTACTGATCTTCTAAGTAGTCCTAATCAACCGTAAGACTGAATTTATCTCATTTCTTTACAGACTTGATGTTTTCGTA